CTTCTTCTTCTTCTGTGGGTTTTATGGCAGACTACAACCCAAAATGGATGGGGTTGAAAAAAACAAGGTAAAAATAAAACCCCATATTTGATATGGTAAACTAACTTAATCCACCCCAAATAAAACAATAAGAAAACACATTGACAAAACCAAAACCAAAACTCCCACTTCTTCCTTCCTTCAAATCTCCATATCTCCCTTCTCAGGCTCTATGACCTGAGAGGGTGGTACAGCTTGTGACAATATTCCATGCAACTCCTCCGCCGAGTAGTCTTTCAGTCCCAGGAACCGTTCCGCCGCATCCACAATGATATCTATTTTCCTGGACTTCCTCTCCACCTTGGTAGTGCCATTAATCACCATAGCTATGAAGGCCACAAAGTCCACCTTCTAAACCTTTAACATATATGGGTCCTGCTGTTGAACTGCAACCCCTGCAGCCTTCAGTGAAGGCCTATCCACCACCATCGACTCTTCAGGAGCACAATTCGAACCCTTTTAACAGCCATTGCATATGAAATACTCTGGACAGCCCTGACTTTAGCCACCTCATTCTCTTTCACCCTTGTTGGGCATTCCAAAGACGTGGCTTCATGGTTCCCACCACAATTGCAACATGTCACATTTTCATCACTTTTAAAACACATGATATGATCTTCTCCACAACTTCAACATCTTGGCTTTTCCCTTCTGCAAACACTTGAAACATGTCCAACATCTTTACAATGATCACACTGCATTGGTCTTGGAACAATTGCTCTGACTCGGTAGTTTATATATTCCAACTGTACTTGAGTAAGGAGAGACTCCATATAAAAAAAAACTAAAGAACGGATTAGACTCTTCACTTTTTCTTCATTCACCACACGATTCATCCGAGGAGCATCAATCACTCCAGGAATATGTTTAATCTCTGCAACATCAACTTCCCACGAAACTCCTTCTTATTCTTCGGTATAATGGTGTTCGCAACAATTATATGTGCATTCTGCCAGCTACTGTGCGATTGGATAATAATTACCCCGCAACGTGATAATGCGGCGTAATTAAAAAAAAATATATTTTATCATTTTCCACAACAATGTTAGCCCTTTTTGTTCCATTCTTGGACTTCACTGTTGTCCACTCATCTTTCTCACTAACTGTACTTTACGCACTTTGAGCTTCAAACAACACTTCTGCTTCTGCCATCTCAACGTCTGTCAGCTGACTCACCCACGAACCATCCTCGCTATGACCTCTCTGATAGCGCCGCACCGGTTGATGTACACAGTCCCAGTCGATCTACCTTGAAAACAGAAAGCTAGCAGAGTGGGACAGGGTCCGTGTTATCCGGAATCCTTGGGACGTCCCTACCCCATTGAAGTAGACATTTAAAATGGTTAAGTTTAGGGTAAGGGTGATGGTTGTGGTTAGGGTTAGGGTAAGGGTAGGAGCTAAGGTTAGGGTTTAGGGCAGACCCGTCGCCAGACCTCAGTCTTAAGGGGGGCATATGAAATGCATGGGAGGGCAGGGCACAATTGTTATTAGCCTACAGTACATATATTTAATAATAAATTCCCTCAAGTGGGGGGGCACAAGCATTTTTGGGGGCGGGCCCATAGCGACGGGTGTGGTTTAGGGTATAGACGTCCCAAGGATCCCGGATAGCACTGACCAGTGGGAAAGGGCAGTGTTGAGCTAAAGCAAGTTTGTCATTTGTTCCATAGCTAGGGGGATAATGATTGTTTTTTTGTATTTGCCTAGCCAAATACTTTCATTAAATACATTTTTGGGGACATAAATAGATCATTTAAATGTTTTTCCATTGAACAGTATATCAAAGTTGGTGCTATGATATGACCTTCATCAAGCCTTAAAATGTTCCAGTGTCCCTCAACTTAAAGGGATAGTTTGGGATTTTAGCGTCAGATGAACTCGTGGATTCCATTTTTATGTATCTGTGCCCAGTATAAAGGAAGTTGCACGCAGATTAATAAAAGTTATTCTGACTCTGTGGAAGTAGATAATGGGCCTCATTGTCAAAATCCCGAACTATCCCTTTAAGGTGAAAACAGTCTTTCCCCACCACAGCCCACAGTCCAACTATGCATGCACAGCCCAGTGGAAACGAACTGTGACTCACCACAGTGATCCTGTGACTCACCAGTGGTCCTTGCCCACCATTTTGGGAAACAGCTTGAACTGAGCAAAGTCTTGAGAGAGGGAAATATAAGAAATATGTTATGCATCACAATGTGTGTGTGTGTGTGTGTGTGTGTGTGTGTGTGTGTGTGTGTGTGTGTGTGTGTGTGTGTGTGTGTGTGTGTGTGTGTGTGTGTGTGTGTGTGTGTGTGTGTGTGTGTGTGTGTGTGTGTGTGTGTGTGCCGCAGCAGCAAGTGCTAATAGATATGATTAATGATTGATTAACAATTTATTTAACAAGTTAACAGAAGATGCTTTCAGTCATAACTGAGTTAATTAAATACAGTAGACTACTAGCCTACATTTCTTTAATTATCAGGGATCATATACTACTATCATGAGATGGAATTACTCAGACAGAAGATGGCAGTATGACACCAATACAAGACAATAATACCTTCTACCTCTGTCCCCCTGGAGCAGTAGCCATGTAGTCTAGTCAATTTCAATAAGTACCTTGTCTCATGAATTATCTCCTTAAAGTGTCAATCAGCAGTTAAAACAATAATAAAGCGTACTCCCCACTCCTGTTTCGGTAAAAAGCTGAGGGATAGGGCTGGAGAAATGTAACCACTCTCAAATTCATAGACAGAGCTATGGATGCAAGGACTGGCCATCCTTGATATCAACATTGTAGCTATATAGTTTTTTAAAATATATATATTTTTACATTTCCTTTGTTTACAAACATTGGAGTGAAATAACTTATATTTTGGGTTCTGATGGGGTACGACAATTTAACTAAGTTCATGTATATAAGTTATATTCTTCAAGAATCAATGGGTACATTTCATTAATTAAGAAGTCCCAAAATGTATGAAGCAACTGCAGATTGCCCCTTTAATGAAGAGCAATGATGTGACTTTAGTAGTTTCAGTTTCTCTAAGATCTAAAAGTACAGGGAGTTTTTCCTAGTAGCCTAACTAAGTTATTCTATATAGTTAGTTACTGTGTGAGTCAAACAGTTTGTGTGTTTAGTGCCTAAAAGCACCCCATGAACAAAAGAAACCTTTGCTACTTTGCGAGCCTTATAATGTAAGCACGGCCATAGACACCTGGCAACGCGCTACAGCATTAATTAAGTAATACCCAAGACAATTGTCACTGTCCAGAGCAAATGAGATGGCACTAATGTGTCTTAAGCCATCCACAGGTGTCCAATGATATGGGAGAGGGGCGGGCTCGTGAACGTCTATCTGTGTTAGACACAGGTGAGGTCATTGAGCACAACATGGTTACAGGTAATGCTATTGTTAAACTTAGCTGAATAGTTTGCATGCATGTGTGGATGGGGAATGTGTGTGTGTGTGTTTTTAATTTTAGCCAACTGTTTAGGTAGGCTATAATTATGTATTTATTTGACAAAGAACTAGTTTGATACCGAGACAATATTGTTGGTGTATTTTGTGTGCCTCAGTTGCGTCTCTGTGACCTGTTAAGGATCCTCTTTAGGTCCATGTTTAGTATCCGTGAGCCTAATCATGAAGTGGCCTTGCTATGAATCGCTTTATGGGCTTCATATCGTTCGTCATTGCGCAAATGTTTCATATGCTGAAGTCGCCTTTTAAGTTATTCCTATACTAAAATAACTTTTGACTAAATTGGACTGAATTTTCTACGAACTTCTGAAATAGCAAAGACAATAAGGACTGTCATTAATACTATTAGGGAGGGTGCTCCTCTTGGGGGGCATGTATTTAGCCAAGAGTAAAGCTTTAATTGTTATTAATTATTTTAGCTTTGTTTGTTTACGCAACCCGTTGCTTCGAGCGCTGTCCAAGGTGCTGAAGTGGAGCTCCTGAAGTGGTGCGCTGCGCGTGAACTCCATTGGGCGAACGCTACAAAGGAATTGTCTTCAAAAATTGTATCTACTCAGGGTCAGGGCCGTTTCACTTATTCTACCTCCACTCATAATCACAATCAAAAGTCGTTGTATATACTTGAATAAATCAAATAATCTATACTTGGTGACAGGTTAAAAGTGTGTCTCAAGTGAGTAGCTTTTTAGAAGGTAAGCAGTGTTTGAGATACCTCGCATTATGAAACCGTACTCCACACTATGTCACCTTTATCTTTTTAATAAAACATGAATGTTTTCGGAGCCGTTGATATCCAACTACGTCCCTTGGGAAATCAAGTATGAAAAAATGTATGCACTCACTAACTGTAAGTCGCTCTGGATAAGAGCGTCTGCTAAATGACTAAAATGTAAATGTAAAATGTAATGGAGGGTTGTTTTACAGAGCGGTGCCCGACGATGTCTCGCTTTGTAGATGGGTGAGCGGTGCGCTGGGACAGCATGGCCGAGGAGAGTGGACTCAAAGACCGCTGTGGCAGACATCGTGGCCTCGGCCGCTGGACTGGAGGAAGTGGGCGACCAGGTTGGAATGGCGAAAGAAAGATCTTGATCTTGAACTGCCATGGATGTGCCTGTTCATTCACAGACATCTACTAACAAACCCAAGGATGCACTTAAGGATACAAATATTGGACTATTTCAGTCCTATAACTGTACCTGGATGAAATAATTTGCCATAGCTTATTTATCTCCTTAAACTAATGGACTTCATTTTGTAATTTAGTTTTTTATGTCTCTAATAGCCTAATGTGGCTTTTGGACATTTCTGTGTTGGACTTCACTATTGACAAGCAGTAATCAGGAAGGATGGATTTTTTACTTGTTCCCTCTGTTTAACTCTTGATTGACCTTGCCAAACCACCCACTCACTCCCCTCTACCTCTCCTCCCGTCCGCTCTGCATCTCCAGGCGAGTCCCTGGTGTGAATGAGTGTGGGAGGGGGAGTAGGCCTCTCGCCATGGCTCACTCCTCTGACTACCACAACCAGAGGGAGATGACCAACGGGGGAGGGCAACCTCTCCCCCACCCTCACAATGGGGGAGGCTACCCTCCCCCCCACCTTCACAATGGGGGAGGCCACCCTCACCCTCACAACGAGGGAGGCCACCCTCACTCCCACAATGGGGGCCATGGGGGCCAGGCTGGGGGGTCCCACTCGACAAACCGCTACATGCAGAAGAAGCATCACCGCCACAGGGGAGGCAGGTCCTCACCCATGGGCAGAGTCATCCTCATCAACTCTCCTGTCGATGGTAATAATAACACTACTGTGTCTACTCCCCCTCCCACTGTACACAGTGTTGTCTGAACTCTTAAGCATACAAAACTATAGCCTGCTGAGCTAAAGACCATTCATTAGTTCAGGAAAATAACACATTTTTACTTACATCTCCAATATTTCTGCTGTAGCTAACATGTCAATACAGTGTTTCTACTGCATTTGATCTCAGAGTGCCTGTTCCCTCTTGTGTACAGGTGGGGATGACTGTGAAGACCTCCACACAGTTACAGTAGATAAGAGTGCAGACGGCTGTCTGGGCTTCAGTGTGAGAGGGGGTTCAGAACACGGACTCAGCATCTTCGTCAGCAAGATAGAGGATGACAGCTCTTCAGGTAGGCCCTATAACAGAGGGAGGGAGGTGTGTGTATTGACCCCATAATTACCCCTGTTTGTCTTGCAGAGCATACAGGCCTTTACGAGTGTGTTTGTGTGTGTATGTGTGTGTTTATGTGTGTATTCCTATGTATGTGTGTGTATGCATGTGTATGTACTGTATGCGTCAGTGAGTGTGTGCTTTAACCCCTTCGTCTCTCCCCTCCAGAGCAGGCAGGTCTCTGTGTAGGGGACAAGCTGGTAGAGGTGAATGGTATCAGCCTGGAGAGCATCACTATGAGCAGTGCTGTGAAGGTCCTGACAGGGAACAACAGGCTGAGGATGGTGGTGAGACGTGTGGGGAAAGTCCCTGGTATACGCTACTCTAAGGAGAAGACTACATGGTGAGAGGGCCTACTGTAATGTAGTGTACTGTACTGTACTATACACTTACAGAAAAAAAGGTGCTATCTAGAACCTAAAAGGGTTTTTCGACTGCCTCCATAGGAGAACCCTTTGAAGAACCATTTTTGGTTCCAGGTAGAATCCTTTTGGGTAGACATAACGTTCGCGAAAATCGTTTCCACAGAGGGTTCTAAATGGAACTCAAAAGGGTTCTCCTATGGGGACAGCCGAGGAACCCTTCTGGGACCCTTTTTTCTAAGAGTGTACTAAACTGTTATATTATGTCACGTCATGTACTGTACTGTTATGTAATGTAGTTAGCCAGTTCCCAATATAATGGTTAGTTTAGACAGGTCCATGTGTGTACATGAGTGTAGTCATTAATCGGCATTCAAGTTCAAGTTCAAGTGCAACCTGACTAGTTCAAGCAACCTGAAGCACTGGAGTGGAGCAGGCGGAGTGTAGATAATGAGACAGGCTGGTATCATAGACTAGACGTAACATAGAAAACTAATACCCAAATTAGTATGATATGTTAGGTTTGTATGGTTACTAAGACAGAAGGTTACTTAAGGCAAAAACTAAAGGAGGGTGGTTGGTTGGGGTAAACGCGAACGTCTAGCATCCCAAAGGTTGTGTGTTCAATCTCATTATGGACAACTTTAGCATTTTAGCTAATTAGCAACTTTGCAACCACTTACTACCCTTTAGCTACTTTGCAACTACTTAGCATGTTAGCTAACCCTTCCCAAAACCCTAACCCTAACCTTAACCCTAACCTTAACCCCTAACCCTAACCCCTAGCCTAGCTAACGTTACCCACAAAAAAATGGAATTCCAAATATATCATACATATTGCTAATTCGTAACATATTGTAGGAATTGCAATTCGTTACATATGATATGAATTGTAATTCGTAACATATTATATGAATTGTAATTCGTAACATATCACACAAAATGGATGATGGACATCCACAAATAATTGCATACCATACCAAACGTAACATGTCATACTAATTTGAGTGTCCCGAACTTTCGTTCACTATGTTACGTCTACCCCTGAGTCCACGTTGCAGGCAGGAGACTACCTGATGCATATGATCAGTACAACAACAACACTATACAGAGTACAGGAGGTTGGTGGTACCTTAATTGGGGAGGACGGGCTCGTGGTAATGGCTGGAGTGGAATAAGTGGTATCAGATACATCAAACACATGGTTTCCATGGGTTTGATGCCATTCTATTCGCTCCGTTCTAGCCATTATTATGAGCCGTCCTCCCTCAGCAGCCTCCACTGATACAGAGTTAGTGTAACATGGTTCCATATAATACAGTGGGGAGAACAAGTATTTGATACACTGCCGATTTTGCAGGTTTTCCTACTTACAAAGCATGTAGAGGTCTGTAATTCTTATCATAGGTACACTTCAACTGTGAGAGACGGAACCTAAAACAAAATTCCAGAAAATCACATTGTATGATTTTTAAGTAATTAATGTGCATTTTATTGCATGACATAAGTATTTGATACATCAGAAAAGCAGAACTTAATATTTGGTACAGAAACCTTTGTTTGCAATTACAGAGATCATACGTTTCCTGTAGGTCTTGACCAGGTTTGCACACACTGCAGCAGGGATTTTGGCCCACTCCTCCATACAGACCTTCTCCAGATCCTTCAGGTTTCGGGGCTGTCGCTGGACAATACGGACTTTCAGCTCCTTCCAAAGATTTTCTATTGGGTTCAGGTCTGGAGACTGGCTAGGCCACTCCAGGACCTTGAGATGCTTCTTACGGAGCCACTCCTTAGTTGCCCTGGCTGTGTGTTTCGGGTCGTTGTCATGTTGGAAGACCCAGCCACGACCCATCTACAATGCTCTTACTGAGGGAAGGAGGTTGTTGGCCAAGATCTCGCGATACATGGCCCCATCCATCCTCCCCTCAAAACGGTGCAGTCGTCCTGTCCCCTTTGCAGAAAAGCATCCCCAAAGAATGATGTTTCCACCTCCATGCTTCACGGTTGGGATGGTGTTCTTGGGGTTGTACTCATCCAGAAAATCACATTGTATGATTTTTAAGTAATTAATTAGCATTTTATTGCATGACATAAGTATTTGATCACCTACCAACTAGTAAGAATTCCAGCTCTCACAGACCTGTTAGTTTTTCTTTAAGAAGCCCTCCTGTTCTCCACCCATTCCTCCTGTCCCCCTGCTCAAGCCAGCGCATGTCCAGGACCATCTGAAGTTTGCCAATGACCATCTGGATGATCCAGAGGAGGAATGGGAGAAGGTCATGTGGTCTGATGAGACAAAAATAGAGCTTTTTGGTCTAAACTCCACTCGCCGTGTTTGGAGGAAGAAGAAGGATGAGTACAACCCCAAGAACACCATCCCAACCGTGAAGCATGGAGGTGGAAACATCATTCTTTGGGGATGCTTTTCTGCAAAGGGGACAGGACAACTGCACCGTATTGAGGGGAGGATGGATGGGGCCATGTATCGCAAGATCTTGGCCAACAACCTCCTTCACTCAGTAAGAGCATTGAAGATGGGTCGTGGCTGGGTCTTCCAGCATGACAACGACCCGAAACACACTGCCAGGGCAACTAAGGAGTGGCTCTGTAAGAAGCATCTCAAGGTCCTGGAGTGGCCTAGCCAGTCTCCAGACCTGAACCCAATAGAACATCTTTAGAGGGAGCTGAAAGTCCGTATTGCCCAGCGACAGCCCCGAAACCTGAAGGATCTGGAGAAGGTCTGTATGGAGGAGTGGGCCAAAATCCCTGCTGCAGTGTGTGCAAACCTGGTCAAGACCTACAGGAAACGTATGATCTCTGTAATTGCAAACAAAGGTTTCTGTACCAAATATTAAGTTCTGCTTTTCTGATGTATCAAATACTTATGTCATGCAATAAAATGCAAATTAATTACTTAAAAATCATACAATGTGATTTTCTGGTCTACAATTTTATCCCTGATGTCCTTACACAGCTCTCTGGTCTTGGCCATTGTGGAGAGGTTGGAGTCTGTTTGATTGAGTGTGTGGACAGGTGTCTTTTATACAGGTAACGAGTTCAAACAGGTGCAGTTAATACAGGTAATGAGTGGAGAACAGGAGGGCTTCTTAAAGAAAAACTAACAGGTCTGTGAGAGCTGGAATTCTTACTAGTTGGTAGGTGATCAAATACTTATGTCACGCAATAAAATGCTAATTAATTACTTAAAAATCATACAATGTGATTTTCTGGATTTTTGTTTTAGATTCCGTCTCTCACAGTTGAAGTGTACCTATGATAAAAATTACAGACCTCTACATGCTTTGTAAGTAGGAAAACCTGCAAAATCGGCAGTGTATCAAATACTTGTTCTCCCCACTGTATGTATCCTGTTTTGTGATACCGAGTGTATCATATGCATCAACAATGTGTTAAATGCATCACAATCCTTTTGAAATTGATCCCATTAGGCTTATGGTTTGTGAATTCTTTATAAGTATTACGTTTTTCATAGTGTCACGTCAATAGAATTCATTATAGAACAGCTACTCTAGTATTATATCTCTATGGTCACATCAGTATGAAGGTCAATGACTCTTGAGCGTCACTACTAGGTTATCATGCTGCTGAGGGATCTTGGTTTCATGGTGCACGGCTAGATAGATTACCTCTATGACTATGGCTATTTGACTAATTGATAGGGAGGACAGAGCTCACTGGGGAATGGGGCTGCTGCTGTGTTTGTGTGTGTGTGTTTATGTGTGTGTGTGAGCATGTGTGTGTGTGAGCATGTGTGTGAGTGTTAGTAAGTGAGGAGGGGGGTGTAGTATATACATATCTGTGTGTGTTTGAATGTACAGTATGTTTATGTACAGTTGAAGTCGGAAGTTTACATACACCTTAGCCAAATACATTTGAACTCAGTTTTTCACAATTCCTGACATTTAATCCTAGTAAAAATTCCCTGTCTTAGGTCAGTTAGGATCACCACTTTATTTTAAGAATGTGAAATGTCAGAATAATAGTAGAGAGAATGATTTATTTCACCTTTTATTTCTTTCATCACATTCCCAGTGGGTCAGAAGTTTACATACACTCAATTAGTATTTGGTAGCATTGCCTTTAAATTGTTTAACTTGGGTCAAACGTTTCAGGTAGCCTTCCACAAGCTTCCCACAATAAGTTGGGTGAATTTTGGCCCATTCCTTCTGACAGAGCTGGTGTAACTGAATCAGGTTTGTAGGCCTCCTTGCTCCCACACGCTTTTTCAGTTCTGCCCACAACTTTTCTATAGGATTGAGGTCAGGGCCACTCCAATACCTTGACTTTGTTGTCCTTAAGCCATTTTGCAACAACTTTGGAAGTATGCTTGGGGTCATTGTCCATTTGGAAGACCCATTTGCGACCAAGCTTTAACTTCCTGACTGATGTCTTGAGATGTTGGTTCAAGATATCCACATAATTTTCCTTCCTCATGATGCCATCTATTTTGTGAAGTGCACCAGTCCCTCCTGCAGCAAAGAACCTCCACAGCAAGATGCTGCCACCCCCGTGCTTCACGGTTGGGATTGTGTTCTTCGGCTTGCAAGCGTTCCCCTTTTTCCTCCAAACATAACGATGGTCATTATGGCCAAACAGTTCTATTTTTGTTTCATCAGACCAGAGGACATTTCTCCAAAAAGTACGATCTTTGTCCCCATGTGCAGTTGCAAACCGTAGTCTGGCTTTTTTATGGCGGTTTTGGAGCATTGGCTTCTTCCTTGCTGAGCGGCCTTTCAGGTTATGTCAATATAGGACTTGTTTTATTGTAGATATAGATACTTTTGTACCTGTTTCCTCCAGCATCTTCACAAGGTCCTTTGCTGTTGTTCTGGGATTGATTTGCAACTTTCCGCACCAAAGTACATTCATCTCTAGGAGACAGAACGCGTCTCCTTCCTGAGCGGTATTACAGCTGCGTGGTCCCATGGTGTTTATTCTTGCGTACTATTGTTTGTACAGATGAACGTGGTACCTTCAGGCATTTGGGAATTGCTCTCAAGGATGAACCAGACTTGTAGAGGTTTACAATTTTTTTTTCTGAGGTCTTGGCTGATTTCTTTTGATTTTCACATTATGTCAAGCAAAGAGGCACTGAGTTTGAAGGTAGGCCTTGAAATACATCCACAGCTACACCTCCAATTGACTCAAATGATGTCAATTAGCCTATCAGAGGCTTCTAAAGCCATGACATCATTTTCTGGAATTTTCCAAGCTGTTTAAAGGCACAGTCAACTTAGTGTATGTAAACTTCTGACCCACTGGAATTGTGATACAGTGAATTATAAGTGAAATAATCTGTCTGTAAACAATTGTTGGAAAAATTACTTGTGTCATGCACAAAGTAAATGTCCTAACCGACTTGCCAAAACTATAGTTTGTTAACAAGAAATTTGTGGAGTGGTTGAAAAACGAGTTTTAATGACTCCAACCTAAGTGTATGTAAACTTCCGACTTCAACTGTACATATCTAGCATGTGTGTGTTTCTGCAGGGTGGATCTGATCCAGAGGCGTATGGTAGTAGAGGAGAGTGGTCGTACTCCGTCAGATGCCAGTTCAGACAGTGTTCTCCGTAGGATGGTTCACCTCTACACCACCTCAGACGACTACTGCCTGGGATTCAACATCAGAGGGGGCAAAGAGTTCGGACTGGGCATCTACGTCTCTAAGTATGTGGTCCTGGGGATGTTACAGGTTGTGCAGGTTTATGTTCCCACCCATCACTAGATGAAACTGCTCAAGCATACACCACTGTTGCGCTCAACAACAACAAAAAATACAGTGGAGATACCTTTGTTTGTAACATGTAAATATATTCAGAATTGACTTGTGGGAGATGAGAGCAGCCCTTAATTGAATCTGAACTCTAACTAATGAATGGCAACTATCAGAGAACAATGTTAGAAGCTCAGAGCTATACAAAACATGACTCAAAACAACTGGCCAACTCCATGACACATCTTCCTTGACTTCTCTGTGTATTGTGGTCAGTTTGGACCCTGGGGGTCTGGCGGAGCGGCACGGCATCAAGATGGGCGACCAGATCCTGGCGGCCAATGGGGTGAGCTTTGATGGCATCACCCATAGCAATGCCGTGGAAGTTCTGAAGAGCCACACCCACATCATGCTGACCATCAGGGTGAGAGAGAAGACTCGTCTTTGACTGCGTCCCAAGTGGCACCCTGTTCCCTTTATAGTGCACTAACCCTTTTGGGACACAAACTTTTTCATTAGCTATCTATAGGGCTTTCACCTATCCAGTCCTATCATATATGTGAAGGGGAGTGAACTAGCTAGGGCAGATGGAAGGGAACATCTCTCTGAAATGAAACACAGCCATTGTATGTGCATCTCAATAGTCTAAAGTTGCCTCCACTCCTTGTCTCCTCTCCATCATATACACTGATCAATACTGTTTTCTTAAATGCATGTACATCAAGGTTGAAAGTGGTACACACTATCCCTTTATATGAAACATGTACTCTATGTTCAATAGGTTAGATCCATTTCATACCTAACAATTGATCACGTGGTGCTCTAAGTACTCTGGCACATTAATGGATGTTGCAGCGCGTTAAACAACATCACTGGGGAGTGAGACAGAGTGAGAAAGCATAGTAAATCAGACAGCTGGCACCTGGCCCATGCATTCCTCTGTGTTTGTGTGTGTGTGTGCCTGTGTATGTGTGTGTGTACCTGTGTATGTGTGTGTATGTGAGTTTGTGTGTGTGAGTTTGTGTGCGCGCTCAGCACCTCGCATTCCAGTGTGCTCACTTTACTCCTCTCATCTCGGATTCCGTGCGAGAAAATACGCCAGGGACGGCGTTCATTATTTACAAGGCAGCAGGATCAAGTTATAATCAGCAGAAAGCCTTGTTTTATGTCTTTCCTCTGTCCTGCGCTAAACCCCATTATGGCTAAAAATGACACACATAGGAGCCGGGTTAGGTTGCTAAACGCCCCCCAACACCTGCCCAGACCAAGGCCCATTGTGGAGGGTCTCAGAGGGGGTCCACTGTGACTTACGCCTGACCTGAAATGGTGCCTGTCCTTTGTGGTCTTAAGTGTAGGGATCTTAGAAGTGGTCAATTGAGACTTGTGTTTGACCCAAAATGGTGCCCTGTTCTCCTTGTGGGCCTGTGCTGAGTAGCAGTAGGGTGAGAAGGCATAAGCTGCCCTGGAGAGGTGGTGAATCTGGTGAGGGAGAGTCTACCATCTTGGGTCAGTTTTTCCCTGGAGCTGTGTTTCTGTATTAATACAGAAAGTGTGTGTGGGTCTGTGTGTGTGTGTGTGTCTGGGTGCATCTGTGTGCGCGTCTGCATGTATTTCAAATCAAATCAAAATCAAATTTTATTGGCCACATGCGCCGAATACAACAGGTGCAGACATTACAGTGAAATGCTTACTTACAGCCCTTAACCAACAGTGCATTTATTTTTAATAAAAAAGTAGAATAAAACAACAAAAAAGTGTTGAGAAAAAAAGAGCAGAAGTAAAATAAAATAACAGTAGGGAGGCTATATATACAGGGGGGTACCGGTGCAGAGTCAATGTGCGGGGGCACCGGCTAGTTGAGGTAGTTGAAGTAATATGTACATTTGGGTAGAGTTAAAGTGACTATGCATAAATAATTAACAAAGTAGCAGCAGCGTAAAAAGATGGGGGGGGGGGGGGGGGGGGGGGGGCAGTGCAAATAGTCCGGGTAGCCATGATTAGCTGTTCAGGAGTCTTATGGCTTGGGGGTAGAAGCTGTTGAGAAGTCTTTTGGACCTAGACTTGGCACTCCGGTACCGCTTGCCGTGCGGTAGCAGAGAGAACAGTCTATGACTAGGGTGGCTGGAGTCTTTGACAATTTTGAGGGCCTTCCTCTGACACCGCCTGGTATAGAGGTCCTGGATGGCAGGAAGCTTGGCCCCAGTGATGTACTGGGCCGTACGCATTACCCTCTGTAGTGCCTTGCGGTCGGAGGCCAAGCAGTTGCCATACCAGGCGGTGATGCAACCAGTCAGGATGCTCTCTGGTGCAGCTGTATAATTTTTTGAGGTTCTGAGGACCCATGCCAAATCTTTTCAGTCTCCTGAGGGGGAATAGGCTTTGTCGTGCCCTCTTCACGACTGTCTTGGTGTGTTTGGACCATGATAGTTCGTTGGTGTTGTGGACACCAAGGAACTTGAAGCTCTCAACCTGTTCCACTACAGCCCCGTCGATGAGAATGGGGGCGTGCTCAGTCCTCTTTTTTTTCCTGTAGTCCACAATCATCTCCTTTGTCTTGGTCACGTTGAGGGAGAGGTTGTTATCCTGGCACCACACAGCCAGGTCTCTGACCTCCTATTTGTGTGTGTCTGTGTGTGTGCACGTGTGCGTGTCCTCATGTGGAATTGCAGGTCAGCCAAGTCCCTAAGGGTCACCTGTCCCTGTAGTACCCACACACATTCATTGAGTGGAAGGTCACATGTGCCCCAGAGCCAGAAGAAACTTCTGTGAGACTCTGTAAAGGTCATGAAGTAGAGGCTAGTCTACTTATATCCTGTCCTCAGAACACCTATCCTAGGGTAAACGCATCCAGATATCCACATATAAGGAGTGAGACCTGAACTTCTGATAAAATATGTATAGAAATGTGTGTAATAATTATGATGATTATGAGTATGATGAAGAGTATAATGCGGAGGATGATGATGATGATGATAAAGAACGAATATGATTATAATCATAATGATGACGATGACGACGATGATGATGATGATGATGATGATGATGATGTGTATATATTTCATCCTAACAGGAGGCAGGAAGATACCCTGCATACAAAGAGATGGTGGCTGAATACAGCTGGCTCAGCAAAAGTATGTATCTCTCTTCTCAGTATGCTACTCACACACAGACAATCCTGAATGTATAGTATACTAATGGGAGTACAATGAGCTAATAAGTAACATGAAAGGATTCAAACTTAGAAGAAAAAATTATATGTACATTAAACGCTTGACCTCGATGTTTTATTATGCTGAATTTGAGTATTCCATTAATTTCATGAAAGCGTCACCAATTCTAGAATCCCAATCTCCAATTATGATGTTGCCAGATTCTACATTGCATGACATTACATGACGTGTCAGTCTAAAGTAGAGCACCGGCCACATCACATGTACTTTAACTAAATCCCTCTGCCGTATTCATCTCAGTCCCCAGATCTGATCCTCTATTTTTTGCTTAATATGAGTGGGTCTGAAAATAGCCCCAGATTAGTGCTGTGTGTGCCCAGAGACAGAGCAGTACTCTGGGTTGGGCACGGCGTGTTACGACAGGTGGGTGGCTGGATGGGTCTGCGTCCCAAATGGCATCCTATTCCCTATTTGGTGCACTTTTGACCAGTGTCTACAGGGCTCTGGTCAAAAGTAGTGCATTACTGTATATAAGGAACAGGGTGCCATTTGGTACATACTCTGTGTGTATTTAGGTTGCTGGGATCTAAGGCTACTGAGTCATTTATGGGTTTTATTAGATTTTTCCTGATGGTTCATGTAGTTGAATTGATTCTCTGGATCTACTGTAGTTAAAGCCAATGGGATTAGCTAACACATTGGTTTGTTGTTTTGACAGTTTCTAAAGTCTCTGAAAAAGTGTTCTATTGAAAAAGTTTTGTTACTAGGAACCTTTTGAATTTGGATCCTGCGACGCGGTTAACCTCAGTTGCTGGTACTGCTATATCTGTCCAGGGATCCTGCCAACCAAAAGTTTGAAGAGCTGCTTGGCGTAGCAGCTAGCCTAGCTGCTAACTAGCTCTCAAGCTAGCAAGGTTTCCTTGACAGATTGAACACAGCCCGCGACGCAGTTAGCCCTTGTGGCTGGGACCGCGGATTGTCCCGGACTTGTGGCTGTCTAAATCCCTGCTGTTTGTTGCTGTTTAAATCTTCCCTGCAACCTGCTCTGTCTTCTGGAACTGCGTGGAGTACCAGCATTGGCCTGCAAGGTGGGAGTCATGGAGGGGACAGTATTTCTCTATCACAAGTGAAGGATCTTTTAAATGAACAAAAAGGGTTCTACAAGCAGTTGTTACAACAACAGGAAAATAGCTTCAAGAGCTTTGTCCAAATACTGATGGACTCAACTAATAAATGAATAGACGATCTGACCAGAGAGGTCCAGGACCTTTAAGAATAGTTTGCAAGGAGAGGATGTCCTGAAAGAGACTTACAGCAAGATGACAAAAAACTGTAAATCCTCTCGCTGACATCAGCACTCTCTGTGAATCATCATTAACAATGACTGGGAAAACAGACTATCTAAAGGGACAATCTAGGAGGAATAACATTGTTGTGGATGACATACCAGAGTCTTCACATGAGAACTTGACCGAGTCTGAGGAGAAAATACGAAAAATGATCACTGAAAAGCTGCAGATGGATCATATGAAGATTGAGTTGGAGCGCACACACAGGTCTGGAAAACATGTAACCAGCCTAGGTAACAGACTGAGGCCGATAGTGGTCAAGTTCCTGAGGTTTAAGGACAAGATGGCTGTTCTGGAGAGAGCCAAGAACTTGAGAGGAACCAACATCTTCCTCAACAAGGACCTCCCTGTAGCTGTGCACCAGAGGTGGAAATAACTTATCCCAACTATGAAAGCTGTCAGAGAGCATGGGAACATTCCTTACATCTGCTACGACAGGCTCATTGTCCATCCTCCCGTCCAAAAGCCTGAGCGGAATGAGAGAGCATAGCCTCAGGGTCAGTAGCTTCAGCCCAACATTACACACACACACTTACACACACACACATATTTATTTATTTATTTATTTTGTCTCCATATTATGTCTATCTCCAATAAGCTACAAAGGAAAGGGCTAATAATAGCCCATATTAATATATGCAGCCTTAGAAATAAGGTTCATGAAAGAAAATAACTTTCTAACATCAGATAACATTCATATACTGGTCATCTCTGAAACTCACTTAGATATTTCCTTTGATGATACAGCAGTAGCAATACAGGGATATACCATCAACAGAAAAGACAGGAATGCCTATGGTGGAGGTGTTGCTGTATATGTTCAGACCCATATTCCTGTAAAGCTTAGAGAGGATCTCATGTCAAATGTTGTTAAAGTGTTGTGGCTGCAAGTTCACCTGCCTCATCTTAAGCTTCTTCTTTTGGGGTGCTGCTATAGGCCATCAAGTGCTAACAGTCAGTATTTGAATAATATGTGTGCAATGCTTGATAATGTGTGTGATGTTAACAGAGAGGTCTATTTTCTGGGTGACCTGAACATTGACTGCTTAGCAACTAGCTATCCTCTCAAGATGGTCCTCTGTAGCTCAGCTGGTAGAGCACGGCACTTGTAACGCTAAGGTAGTGGGTTCGCTCCCCAGGACCACCCATACACAAAAAAAAAAAAATGTATGCACGCATGACTGTAAGTCGCTTTGGATAAAAGCGTCTGCTAAATGGCATATTATTATTATTATATTAAGATGAAGCTTCTAACTGTGATTAATGCCTGTTATATGACCCAGGTTATCGCTCAACCAACTAGAGTGCATACCAATAGTGTTGGATCATATCTTCACTAATGTTACAGAGCTTTGCTCCAAAGCAATATCAGTTTCCATTGGCTGTAGTGACCATAACATTGTGGCAATAACAAGGAAAGCCAAAGTGCCAAAGTTTGGGCCTAAAGTAATTTATAATAGATCATACAAAATGTTTTCTCAGGATTATTTTGTTGAAGATGTAAAAAATGTATGTTGGTCTGATGTGTATGCGGAATTGAATCCAGATACAGAACTGGAAGTATTTCAAAAATTATTAATGCTAATTGTTGACAAGCATGCACCTGTTAAGAAACTAGCTGTGAGAACTATTGGCGCCCACTGCATTGATGATGAATTAGAAAATGTTATGGTTCAAAGCAATTATGCAAAAGAGGTGGCAAACAAGTCAGGCTGCTCAGCTGAATGGTTGACATAATATAAATTGAGAAATGTTGTGACTAAACAAACTTATATTACCAAACAAAGATATGTTACATAAAATACAATGGAAAAATACTTTGGAGTACCTTAAATGATATCATGGGCAGAAAACCCAATTCATCTCCATCGTTCATTGAAGTTGATGGGTAATTTATAACAAAACCTTTCGATATTGCCAATCATTTCAATTACTATTTCACTAGTGAAGTGGAAAAACTCAGAAGTGAAATGACAACATTGAACAGTGAACCATCATATTTTTGTATAAATGATCTAATAATGAATGTGAAGGATTGCTGTTTTGAATTTGGTCAAGTAAGTGTGGGAGAGGTGGAAAAACTATTGTTATCCATCAATAATGATAAGCCACCAGGTATAGACAACATTGATGGGAAACTATTGAAAATGGTAGCAGACTGTATTGCCACTCCTATTTGCTATACCTTTAACCAAAGCCTAAAGGAGTTTGTGCCCAGGCATGGAAGGAAGCTAAAGTAATTCCCCTGCCTAAAAATAGTAAAGCACCCCTTGCTGGCTCTAACAGCCGCCCAATCAGTTTGCTGCCTGTTCTTAGTAAACTGATGGAGAGGATTGTGTTTGACCAAATACAATGCTATTTTTCAGAGAACAAGTTAACTACTGACTTTCAGCATGCATATAGAGAAGGGCACTCAACTTTTACTGCACTGACTCAGATGACTGATGATTGGTTAAAATAAATGGATAATAAGACGATAGTTGGAGCTGTATTGTTAGATTTCAGTGTAACCTTTGAGGTTATTGATCATACATTTCTATTGAAAAATATCTCACTTGCTATGGCTTTACATCACCTGCCATTACATGATTGGAGAGTTATTTATCCAACAGAACCCAGAGAGTGTTCTTCAATGGAAGCTTCTCTAACATCAGATATGTACAGTGCGGTGTCCCTCAGGGCAGTTGCCTTGGGCCATTACTCTTCTCTATTTTTACAAATGATTTGCTACTGGTCTTACATGAAGCTAGAATGACTATGTATGCAGATGATTCCACTTTCTATATGTCAGCACCCAAAGCCAGTGAGCTCACTTAAATTCTAAATAAGGAGTTACCGTCAGTATTAAAAAACAACTAATGGAACGGCGGGGAATGTGAGGACACACACACACAAACACACTAACACACATTATTTATTAGTTGTATTGTTTGTATTCTTTTTTTGTTGTTTTGTTTGTATATCGTTGTATTTTAAATGTGTGTGACTGTCCTTGTCTATCAGTGTATTTTTTGTTACTTGTCATGTTTTGTGTTTTGTGTGGACCCCAGGAAGAGTAGCTGCTGCTTCTGCAAAAGCTAATGGGGATCCAAATAAACAAATAAACAAACAGTGAGTTCAGACAGATGTCAGTCAGTCTGTACCAACTACCAAGACTTTATGACAATGTGAAAAATGTGTGTTATGTATACAGCTGGTCGATTGTGGGATGGGAACTAGAGTTGAATGATTTGAGGACACACTATAAAACTGAGGAAAACATGACTTCATTCTGATTACGCAATAAATCCTAAATTCAACTCCTCTTATGAGGTTCACTGGTGGTCACTTTGACCAAACCACCAACACTTATCTATAGCATTCATTTTGCATCATTAGACAATATCATATTGTGTCCTATGGTATTGAAACACTATACATTTATTTTTCAAATCTCCAGCTACTGTTTCTAAATGAGTTCCTCTTCTTCCCCATGCAGTGGCCAATGGCGGGCCTCCGTCCTCCTCCCAGGGCTCTGACTCCTACTCCTCGGCCTCCTCCCTGTCTTCCACCCCCCTCAGCTCCCTTAGTGGTCTCTCCCAAGTCCTCTTCCCCCCCACCTTCGGCTCCGACATGGTGGACGTCTGCATCTCCACCGATGACAAGTCCCGCCGCCCCAGCAGCTCCGAACGCACCACAGAGACTGCCATGCAGACTGACCTACACCCCCCCTCGGACTCTAACGCACCCCCCTCGCCTCTTGGAAGGCTAGTCGCCATGGAAACAAGCCGGACGCTAGGCGCCACTGTGTTTTTGAAGGACACAGCGATTCGGGGGAAAGGGGAGGGTCCTGTGGAAAGGGGAGGGGCTGGTGATGGGGGAAGGGGCAAAGGGGGGATGTTGTCACAAGGGGAACAGGACGTGGCGCAGGACTCCCCAAAAACGGCTGTGCTTATGGCCCTGAGCAGACCGAGAAAGCCCATCAGACGATCCCAGAGCCATATCACAGTTACAGGTGAGGAGCAAAACTATGATCAGTTAATGTAAATAAATAGTTGCCAGTCCACAGCGTATGATCCAAAGGCCTAAGAGAACAGAAGCCAAAGTATCATAAATGGGAAATGCACTCCCAAACACTTTTGTTTTCAAATATCAATTTTTGGAGTGCATCCCTCCCTCCTGTTTTTGATACATGAATAGGCATACCTGTATATCTAATCCTAACCCAGGGCAACTATCTCCTTCGCAACACGAGAGTTTAGCCAGAGTTCAGTTCAGTCCCTGTGGCTGTTGGTGCCTCTGGGTAACGAGATACACCCTCAGAGCTTTAGGGAGATCCCCTCTGAGCTGCAGTCTGATGACCTGCACACGACCCCACTGGCCCTCCCTCTCAACAGGAAGTCAACGAAAACAACACTGAAGCCTTTTTCACACTATAGGGCTAACCCAAACCAAACTGTGTTGGCTAGGATATTTTCTTTTCACATTGTCCTTTCCAGCATGGTTTCAGAACTATGGTGGATGCTTAACCAGGCCAGCACTGCACAGCTCGGCTTGGCTCGGTAGTGTGAATCAGTCATTACTGTCTGAGGGTGCATCTCAATAGTCTATACTCACCTCTCCTTCAACTGCACTGATCTGAAAACAAATAATAGGTGAAAGCAAAATGGTGGGGATACCTACAGTAACAGATATTCGATTTCACCCAATGGCTATTTTATGCAGATGAGGGAAAGGACACAAAGAAAGACACTTCAGACTATTGAGATGCACCCCGAGTCATACTTTTGTTAATGTTATCCAGATGACTGCAGCAGAGGTCTCAAAATACCAGTGAATGTAAACATCTGTGTACAATACATCAATATTACCGGGTTGTTTTCTACTAGGAATGATTTACTGGAGAGAACAGAGAATGTGACTGGATGAGAGATGAACGGTCTTTAACCTCTTACTGAAGAGTGTATCATCCACTTTTATTGGCCAGCGTGAGCATGGAACCATGCAAAGTATAATGAATTATACTTTGAAATAACAAACACATACAATACTTTTTGTCATTTTTCTCTGTGAACCTCAATCTGGCAAAGGTACACCACAAGCAAAGCATTTAACAAAGACCCGTAACAAAGAGATTACTTGTAACAAATGGGGTTTTCGCCTACTAGTATTTGATTAATTTAGTCAATTTACTTTAAAGGTGAATATGCAGAAATCGCGCCGCCATTTCACCTAATTTCAGTTTATGTGACTAAACAAACAATGTATAGTGTAGAGAATAATTGTACCATCTAAACCGCTGTGAAATATATTTTTAAATAAACAAAAATATAGTATATTCAGAATTTTGAAAGACGCAAAAATTAAACTTAAGAATGGGAAGAATAGAAATAGCACACATATAACAAATCTACAGTGCCTTCAGAAAGTATTCAGACCCCTTTACTTTTTCCACATTTTGTTACGTTACAGCCTTATTCTAAAATGGATAAAATAGTTTTTTCTTATCAATCTACAAACAATACTCCATAATGACAAAGCAAAAACAGGTTTGTAGAAATCTTTGCAAATGTACAGTGAGGGAAAAAAGTATTTGATCCCCTGCTGATTTTGTACGTTTGCCCACTGACAAAGAAATGATCAGTCTATAATTTTAATGGTAGGTTTATTTGAACAGTGAGAGACAGAATAACAACAACAAAATCCAGAAAAACGCATGTCAAAAATGTTATAAATTGATTTGCATTTTAATGAGGGAAATAAGTATTTGACCCCCTCTCAATCAGAAAGATTTCTGGCTACCAGGTGTCTTTTATACAGGCAACGAGCTGAGATTAGGAGCACACTCTTAAAGGGAGTGCTCATAATCTCATCTTGTTACCTGTATAAAAGACACCTGTCCACAGAAGCAATCAATCAATCAGATTCCAAACTCTCCACTATGGCCAAGACCAAAGAGCTCTCCAAGGATGTCAGGGACAAGATTGTTGAAATGGGCTACAAGACCATCGCCAAGCAGCTTGGTGAGAAGGTGACAACAGTTGGTGCGATTATTCGCAAGTGGAAGAAACACAAAAGAACTGTCAATCTCCCTCGGCCTGGGGCTCCATGCAAGATCTCACCTCGTGGAGTTGCAATGATCATGAGAACGGTGAGGAATCAGCCCAGAACTACACGGGAGGATCTTGTCAATGATCTCAAGGCAGCTGGGACCATAGTCACCAAGAAAACAATTGATAACACACTATGCCGTGAAGGACTGAAATCCTTCAGCGCCCGCAAGGTCCCCCTGCTCAAGAAAGCACATATACAGGGCCGTCTGAAGTTTGCCATTGAACATCTGAATGATTCAGAGGAGGACTGGGTGAAAGTGTTGTGGTCAGATGAGACCAAAATCGAGCTCTTTGGCATCAACTCAACTCGCCGTGTTTGGAGGAGGAGGAATGCTGCCTATGACCCCAAGAACACCATCCCCACTGTCAAACATGGAGGTGGAAACATTATGCTTTGGGGGTGTTTTTCTGCTAAGGGGACAGGACAACTTCACCGCATCAAAGGGACGATGGACGGGGCCATGTACCGTCAAATCTTGGGTGAGAACCTCCTTCCCTCAGCCAGGGCATTGAAAATGGGTCGTGGATGGGTATTCCAGCATGACAATGACCCAAAACACACAGCCAAGGCAACAAAGGAGTGGCTCAAGAAGAAGCACATTAAGGTCCTGGAATGGCCTAGCCAGTCTCCAGACCTTAATCCCATAGAAAATCTGTGGAGGGAGCTGAAGGTTTGAGTTGCCAAACGTCAGCCTCGAAACCTTAATGACTTGGAGAAGATCTGCAAAGAGGAGTGGAACAAAATCCCTCCTGAGATGTGTGCAAACCTGGTGGCCAACTACAAGAAATGTCTGACCTCTGTGATTGCCAACAAGGGATTTGCCACCAAGTACTAAGTCATGTTTTGCAGAGGGGTCAAATACTTATTTCCCTCATTAAAATGCAAATCAATTTATAACATTTCTGACATGCGTTTTTCTGGATTTTTTGTTGTTATTCTGTCTCACACGGTTCAAATAAACCTACCATTAAAATTATAGACTGATCATGTCTTTGTCAGTGGGCAAACGTACAAATTCAGCAGGGGATCAAATACTTTTTTCCCTCACTGTATAAAAGACTGAAATATCACATTTACATAAGTATTCAGACCATTTACTATGAGACTCAAAATTGAGCTTAGATGCATCCTGTTTCCATTGATCATCCTTGAGATGTTTATACAACTTGATTGGAGTCCACCTGTGGTAAATTCAATTGATTGGACATGATTTAGAAAGGCACACTCTTGTCTATATAATGTCCCACAGTTGACAGTGCATGTCAGAGCAAAAACCTACACAGACCCTTTACTCAGTACTTTGTTGAAGCACCTTTGGCAGCGATTACAGCCTCGAGTCTTCTTGAGTATGACGCTACAAGCTTGGCACACCTGTATTTGGGGAGTTTCTCCCATTCTTCTCTGCAGATCCTCTCAAGCTCTGTCAGGTTGGATGGGGAGCGTCACTGCACAGCTATTTTCAGGTCACTCCAGAGATGTCTGATCGGGTTCAAGTCCGGGCTCTGGCTGGGCCACTCAAGGACATTCAGAGACTTGTCCCGAAGCCACTCCTGCGTTGTCTTGGCAGTGTGCTTAGGGTCGTTGTCCTGTTGGAAGGTGAACCTTCGCCCCAGTCTGAGGTCCTGAGCGCTCTGGAGCAGGTTTTCATCAAGGATCTCTCTGTACTTTGCTCCGTTCATCTTTCCCTCGATCCTGTCTAGTCTCCCAGTCCCTGCCGCTCAAAAACATCCCCACAGCATGATGCTGCCATCACCATGCTTCACCGTAAGGATGGTGCCAGGTTTCTTCCAGACGTGACGCCTGGCATTCAGGCCAAAGAGTTCGATCTTGGTTTCATCAGACCAGATAATCTTGTTTCTCATGGTCTGAGAGTCCTTTAGGTGCCTGTTGGCAAACTTCAAGTGGGCTGTCATGTGCCTTTTACTGAGGAATGGCTTCCGTCTGGCCACTCTACCATAAAGGCGTGATTGGTGGAGTCCTGCAGAGATGGTTGTCCTTCTGGAAGGTTCTCCCATCTGCACAGAGGAAATCTGGAGCTCTGTCAGAGTGACCATTGGGTGGGTTCTTGGTCATCTCCCTGACCAAGGCCCTTCTCCCCCAATTGCTCAGTTTGGCCGGGCGGCCAGCTCTAGGAAGTGTCTTGGTGGTTCCAAAATTCTTCCAATTTAAGAATGATGGAGGCCACTGTGTTCTTGGGGACCTTCAATGCTGCAGAAATGTTTTGGTACCCTTCCCATGTCCAATCAATTGAATTTACGACAGGTGGACTTCAATCAAGTAGAAACATCTCAAGGATGATCAATGGAAACAGGATGCACCTAAGCTCAATTTCGAGGCTCATAGCAAAGGGTCTGAATACTTATGTAAATAAGGTATTTTTGTTTTTTTATTTAAATGATCTAATCAATTTTAGAATAAGGCTGTCACGTAACGAAATGTGGAAAAGGGGAAGGGGGTCTGAATACGTTCCAAATGCACTGTACTTCTTCTTAGACTTGCTTTCAATGAGAATGACAGCTATATAATTCACATTTCTATGTACATTTGGTTGGGTTGCCCAAAAAGTTACATATTGCAGCAAGATAAATTGTTCTGCTCCTTAACCACTCATTTGATACCAGAGCCTTCATGTCATAACTCTTCCTAACTGTTAGGAGTCACCTGATAACTCTCATCTATCCTATACTGAACAAAAATATAAATGCAACATGTAAAGTGTTTGTCCCATGTTTCGTGAGCTGAAATAAAAGATCCCAGAATTGTTCCAAACGCACAAAAAGCTTATTTCTCTCAAATTTTGTGCACAAATTTGGTTACATCCCTGTTAGTGAGTATTTCTCCTTTGCCAACATAATCCATCCAACTGACAGGTGTGGCATATTAAGAAGCTGATTAAACAGCATGATCATTACACAGGTGCACCTGGTGCTGGGGACAATAAAAAGCCACTCTAAAATGTGCAGTTTTGTCACACAACACAATGCCACAGATGTCTGAAGTTTTGAGGGAGTGGGCAATTGGACTACTGACTGCAGGAATGTTCACCAGAACTGTTGCCAGAGTATTAAACATTTCTCTACCATAAGCCATAATGTTATTTTAGAGAATTTGGCAGTACATCCAACCGGCGTCACAACCGCAAACTAGTGTAACCACACCAGCCCAGGACCTCCACATCCGGCTTCTTTACCTGTGGGATCGTCTGAGACCAGCCACCCGGACAGCTAATGAAACTGAGGAGTATTTATTTCTGTAAAAAAGCCCTTTTGTGGGGAAAAACGAATTCTGATTGGCTGGGCCTGGCTCCCCAGTGGGTGGACCTGGCTCCCAAGAGGGTGGGCCTATGCCCTCCCAGTTCCACCCATGGCTGCGCCCCTGCCCAGTCATGTGAAATCCATAGATTAGGGCCTAAGGAATTTATTTAAATTGACTGATTGCCTTATATGAACAGTAACGCAGTAAAATCTTTGAAATTGTTGCATGTTGTGTTCATATTTTTGTTCAGTATAATGAACTGCCTGTCCTTGTCATCTGCTCCTCAGGACCACTGGTAATATATACACCATTGGTCAAGACTATGATCTAGAACAGGGCCATCAGTGTAACAATTGTCGAGGAAATTCTACACAGGGACACTCGAAGTCATTGTTAAATGAATCATTCTTTATTAACAGCATAATGGAGAGGTTCCAACAAACTCAATGCACCATAGCACACATGTCGGTCAGGAGCTTCTCTGCCTTGGCATAAAGGTCATTTTCCAACAGTCGGGCCAGCACTTTGCGAACCAGGGACACATGCTCAGCGCGAGTAGCGGAATACACCAGGATGTCATCGATGTAGACCACCTCACCGCAACCAAGCATGTCCCGAAACACCTCGTTCACAAAGGACTGGAAGACGGAGGGAGCATTCATCAAACCGTAGGGCATCACCAGGTATTCATAATGCCCTGTGGTTGTGCTGAATGCTGTCTTCCACTCATCCCCCTCCCGAACCCGCACCAGGTTGTATGCACTCCTGAGATCTAGCTTAGTGAAGAAGCGCGCCCCATGCATTGACTCAATCACTGAAGGAATGAGGGGGAGAGGATAACTAAATCTAATCGTCTCCTTGTTCAGTGATCGATAATCAATGCACGGGCGCAGACTGCTGTCTTTCTTCTTCACAAAGAAGGAACTCGAGGAGGTGGGTGAAGTGGAGGGACGTATATACCCCTGGCCCAGGGACTCGGAGACGTATGTTTCCATAGCCTCCGTTTCAACCTGCGACAGGGGGTACACATGACTACTGGGTGGGACAGCGTCTACCCGAAGGTCTATCGCGCAATCCCCTGCCCGATGAGGTGGTAATTTAGTAGCACGCATCTTGGAAAACGCGTGCGACAAATCGAGGTATTCGGGGGGAATGCACACAGTGGAGGTACCGTCTGGACTTTCCACCGTAGTTGCACCAACGCAAACATTTAGACACCTACCCTGACACTCTCGCGACCACCCCATGAGAGCCCTCTACGGCAATGAGAAGGTGGGGTTGTGGAGTGCTAGCCAAGGGATAACTAATACCACAGGGAAAGCAGGAGACTCAATAATCGAAAAAATAACCTGCTCACAATGTGTCTCCTGGGTGATCATGGTGACTGGTATAGTGACTCCCGTAAAACAAACCCGGACCCTAATGGTCGACTATCGAGTGCTCTGATGGGGAGTGGAATGGATAGGGGAACGAATTAAATGCCTTGACGGCGTGCAAATGCCCTGTCCATAAAGTTCCCAGCTGCGCCTGAATCGACTAGCGCCTTACAGTGGGGAACTACCAAGTGATCGGGAAAGTGGATAGGTAGGGTACAGTGCACAGCAGAGGGCTCTGAACAAGTGTGGGTGTTTGAAACCTGGGGTGATGCGTGAGTGCCCTGCCTGCTGCCTCCAGGCCCAAAAGAACATTGACTACGACGTGTGGTGTACTGTCCCTTCGTGCCACCAGAGTGGCACTGTCGCTGTCCTCCTCCGCTCTCTCGGCCAGTGGCTCCATCAGCTCAGGATCCCTACCAGGACGTCCTCTGGCTGCCAGCAGGTTATCCAAACGAATGGCCATGTCCACCAGTTTATTGAAGGACAACATGGTGTCCCGGCAGGCTAGCTCCCGTCGGACGTCCTCCCGCAGATGGCACCGGAAATTGTAGATCAGGGCCAGCTCGTTCCACCCGGACCCCTCTGCCAGAGTCCGAAACTCCAACGCGAAGTCCTGCGCATCCTCGTCCCCTGCCTCAGGTGGACCAGCCGCTCGCCCGCCTCTCGACCCTCGGGCGGGTGATCGAAGAGCGCCCGAAAGAGGCGAGCGAACTCCCCGTTGTCCTCCAACGTGGCTCCACCTTCGTTCCATACCGCGTTGGCCCACTCCAGGGCTTTCCCACAGAGGCAGGAAACGAGGACGGACACCTTCTCCCAGTCTGATGGCACCGGCCTGATGCTGGAGAAGTACAGCTCCATTTGGAGGAGGAATCCCTGGCACAGCGCCGCCGTCCCATCAAACGCCCGTGGTCGGGATATCTGGATCCCGCCGGGTGCTGGGGTGTAGGTGGCAGGATCCGGTTGGCCAGCTGGTCTCGACAGATCGGGTCCTCTCCTCTCCAGGTGTTGGACGACCTGAAGAACCCGATCCATCACTTCCCCCAAGCTGGCCAGCATCGTGGAATGCTCCTGGACCCGTGCCACGACTCCAGGCATGCGCTCTTCTCCCGCTGACTACATAGCGGGTGGGTGATTCTGTGATGAGTGTGATGGAAAGGAGTCAGGCGCAGGAGGGTAATCACCGAATACAGAGTTTATTCCTATGTAGACACACAAATGCGCTCAAATTGCGATGTACGAAACAGGCACAGGGGAAACTATCATCCCTGGCAAATACACTGTAACGGATATCCAATAATACAAAGGCACAGGGGAAAATCTACCCTGGCAACACAATGTTACGAGTAGCTCCACCTAGCTACACTACTCTCATAAATAACAATCACCCACAAGGACAAGGGGGCAGAGGGAACATTTATACACAGACTAATGAGGGGATTAGGACCAGGTGTGTGTGATTGACAAGACAAGACAAATGTGATGATGATGATTGGGCGGCAGTGGTTAGTAAGCCGGTGACGACGAACGCCGAAGCCTGCCCGAACAAGGAGGGGAGGCAGCCTCGGCCTAAGTCGTGACATTAATTTAGAGTTATTAATATAACTTTAGTTGTTCTACAAACGTTGGGCTATATGTTTTGATTTTTAATACATTGTAAGGCTGCATGATGCGACTCTAATGATGATTTGAAAAGAGTCGCTTGAAAGGCATGAGATCTGCTTAGGTTTTTTGCGCAGGCTGTACACACTACATCAGTCACTCATTTGCAATTTGACAAGCAATTGATAATGCCTAGAATTTCACAGCAGCATCCCCTTTGTGTGGCCGTAATGCACCCTAAAAAAATCCATGCCTTTTGCGGCCAGTGGCCGTTGTGCCCTTCTCCCTGAGTGCAGCGCGCTCCGAATCACCTCTCACTCACATGGCTCTCCATCACGTGATCGAGTCTTTCTCACAGCCTACAAGTGAAGACAGACATGTCGGGGACGCAACTGTGTGCGTCATTATCCAATTATGAGGTGCATATTGAAGATATTGGAAGAACTGTCCACATTTACTTTTTATCAGCCAACAAGTTGAGTAGGCCTAAGGAACAGAAAAAGCACTAGCCTATGTCAATCTACTATCCCCCATAGTACAAAAGTCAACCTTTTCTGTGCGATAAATAAATATTCCAAACATAGTCTGGGACAGTTGTGGGATGCGATAGATCCCAAATTAATACAACCACTACCATCAAAAAAAAAATTTTATGCAATGTGGCTGACGCAACAGATCAGAACGTTTAGCTTAAAATTTTTATAAACTATTAGGCTATTTCTTCACATTATAACCACAGCAATGCGCACATGATAGTAGGCTTAAGCGCGAATGTTCCATTAGCGGAAAACACCATTATCAAAAGTGACCGCAAATGCAATTATGCATGTAGCCCTTTTACTATAAAGGTGCATTTTTATGGTGAACATTTTCTTCCCCAAACTTGAAACTGACGCGCTGCTTATGTATGCCAGTTAGGCTCTACACCCCTTGTAAAGCGGAATTAATGTGCTTAATTTTAAGAAGTTATTTGGCCAATTCAGTTTTTGGCCAAAACATATAGGCCTATGGGCTAGGCTACATGAGGTGTGTGACTATGATTAGAAAAAGCCACAAAAAAAAGGCATTGTTTCTGCATCATTCACAAGTGGTAATATATCATTCACAAGTGATAGGCTAATATTGTCACCCATCAGACTATTCTTGATATAATCTTGTCTTTACATATACTAAAAAATATATGTGTGAAATTTGTTTTGATTTAGAATGGACCATTATCATGCACCTGCATCGAAACAGGGGCAGCGGGAAAAAATACATGTAATCTATGCACTTAAATAGCGAATGGAGGACACTTTTCCGTGGTTCATTTTCATACCAGGCAGGTAGGCTATACTCCTGTTGTAAATATAAGCAATTGATGACATTTGCATTGATGTCAGAGTGATTAGAGGGACAATAGAGTGCTGAGTACCAGGCAGTTAGCATGTTTGGTAGGCTACTAATGACCATCAGCAGCATCAGAGCTTGGAGAAGCCTAATTACCGTGACTAAATGGTCACATGGAATTTGACTGCCTTCATGACTCGTGACCGCCCATGTGTGGCGGTAATACGGTCACCGCAATAGCCATATTCATCATTAACGTTTGCTTCATTCATGTGACCGACTAATAATGGGTCATGCATGTGACAGACCAATACCTCACAAGGCTTCTTCTCTCTAAGCTGAGACCTTGAAACTGAGACATCTTTCATTCTCAAAACAAGGGTCTGGGCGTACTGCCAAATTGCAGATACTGATAGTGAGGATTCCTCAATTGCATGAACACAGAAATGGGTTATTAGAAAAGCACAAATATAACATTTTCCATCACATTTCCTGCTCTTATCACTCAATCTGTGATAATTATCATTACATTTTAAGGTAAGCATTAGACAATCCAAGATTGGACAATCCAAGATGGACAATCCAAGATGGCGTAGTAGTGCAGTCCTGTTTTTGTCGTGTGTCTGTAGCCTGTAAATACCCTGTTTTTTTGTATTTTACGGGACAAATGATTTACTGTATGACAACTGACAAATTATTCACTGTATTACTAATTATTATTACTACCAATATTCTAAGACAAATGTCAAAGAGAATAACAACACATAGTTGAAACAATTCTTCCCCCCCAAATTGACTTATACTCCCCTAACATCTTGGCGATCTCACCGCAGAGTTACAGGGTCAGGGAGTCAGAGGGCTAATCCTTAGGGAGAAATCCCGGCCATCCAGCATACCCAAACTGGTGAGATTTGTTATTGAAGCAAGACAAAAACAAAGAAAACAAAACAATAACAACAGCAATACACTTCTTCATATATCCCTCGATACACTTCTTCAAATATCACTTGAGGTGGGGAAAACCTCAAACCATTTGGAGTAACTGTCAACCATTACCAACATATATTTCATCCTTTTATAGGCCGACATGTGAACAAAACCATTTCCATATTTACCAAAGGGCCCCATGGAACTGGTAATTCCCCCTTTGGACACATAAGTCGCATCGTGATTCATGCGTACAAAACAACAACACTGCCTGTTAAATCAAAATAACAAATACAATTAGAATTACTACCCTTGATGACTCCATCTTAACTTAATTGCATCCCTTAAGGTAATTCAAGGAATAGTAAAATAGACTAGAGACAGGTGTCTCTCATTCAAAGGCAGCGCTCTCTCGCTCTCCTTCTCTTGTTCCGAATCACACATGGGTCTGTTTATAAATTATAAACTTCTTCCTAATTATCTAGTGTTTACATAGCCCATTTCAATCTTACCCAATGTCTCTTTCTAGTGAGGGTGAGCAGGCCTCACCAGGAAGTCAGAACAGAGGTCATTCAACCCCATAAAGTGAGTGTTGGTTTCCCTGTACCTCAGACATTATTGAAAGATATTTCAAACATTTCAAACATTTTGTGTATCAGGTTTCCATTTGGGTTTTTCAGTACATTTCTTATCAAGGTGGGTTGTGTGTGGGTGCTGGCATGTGTGTGGTAAAAATGGTAGGGTAAAAACAAACAAAATGGCCAGGCCTTACTTAATTTGGGAGCTCCCTCAACAGGTGGATCCGGGCACCTTTACACTGTACAGTAAACAGTCTCAATAACTGCTCTCCCAAGGCACCTGCCTCAGGAAGCCCCTCAAAGGGAGAGACACAGAACCATTGGCAAACATATTTTTAAAAACTTGGTAGCGGACATTCCATAAGTCCTGGAAGAAAGAAAATAAACATCTTAATCAGTCCTAAAAAAAGTCTTAATCTTAATTGAGTTTACTGCATCTTGGGCAGGAAGTCTTGATAAACCCATGTGTATACAGATTTATACTTCAGACACATCAGATGATACAGTGTCCCGTCAAGTTGAATAGGCACCTTCTAAAGTAAACAATACCAGAGCCCCTTTCTTGTAATCATTGTCATTTTGACCTGTTGCATTGACACACAGTTCTGTACAAACTGTCCCTGGGACATAAACTAGTCAAAATATGAAACCTGTTGTTTAACAAATCTGCTAGGACCTTCAAAAAGTTGGTGCTGGCTTATCAGCTCAATATTCATTACTAAAAACATTTACTTGGATCTACTTATTCTAGACACAGTTCCACGTAATGGAAACAGATTATTGTTTTAGATGACATTATCGTCTTACTTAAATCACTGGTGCTACCCAAACTATAGAACTGAGTAATAATAATTGGAAATTGGAAAAAATGTGTCTTATTCAATTAATTATTCATACCTCTGTCCCAAATTTCCCCAATGTCCCTTACAGCCTGTTTGAGTTCAGTGTGTACTGGCGGTTATCTATTGTTCCACAGGAAGCTTATCTCTAACCCAAACACCAGATAGCGGCCTCTAATTTAATATCAGTCCCAATGCTCAATCCTTCTGTTCGTCATGTGACCTTGTATTGAAACATTTACTTCTTCAAATTACTAAGACATTGCATTATTAGAGTGCTATCTGAAAGCCAATTACCATTCACTTTGTTACTTTCACTAGCCTCCATCTGTTTCCCTCAACTTAGACTCTCTTCCCAATAGGAAGACCTTCTCAATCTAATACACTCGGATCACACTTTCTGCTTCACATTTATTAAATGTCTATTATTTTAAGATTAGCATGTAATGCGCTGAATTTATAAAATACAGGGTAAGGGGTTTATTTCAACATGTATTACCAGGGTGGAGGAAATATCGTAAGCATTTATAGTTTTATTGGTTAGGGGTAAGTCAAGTCCAATACAATGCTTTAACCTTACCTTTATCACATGATCCATAAAGGGACCACTCTGAACATTTCTCTACACCAGTGTTCTATTCATACAGGGGTTTAAATATTCACTCTAGTGTTCTATTTAACAGCATATTCGGAAATAATACTCTCATCTTTCATATCTCCATACAGAGTCCCTATATAACATTATAAATCTTTAGTTATCCACGTCCACACCACCTGCAACGATCACAGCGCAGTAGCCCGAGAGGTACACATTTCATGTTCTCGAGGAAATCTCACTGTCCGGGGGCATCAATTAACTTCATTTTTACAGTCCCATTGATTTGCATTTTAATGAGGGAAATAAGTATTTGACCCCCTCTCAATCAGAAAGATTTCTGGCTCCCAGGTGTCTTTTATACAGGTAACGAGCTGAGATTAGGAGCACACTCTTAAAGGGAGTGCTCCTAATCTCAGCTTGTTACCTGTATAAAAGACACCTGTCCACAGAAGCAATCAATCATTCAGATTCCAAACTCTCCACCATGGCCAAGACCAAAGAACTCTCCAAGGATGTCAGGGACAAGATTGTAGACCTACACAAGGCTGGAATGGGCTACAAGACCATCGCCAAGCAGCTTGGTGAGAAGATTTGCAAATGGAAGAAACACAAAAGACCTGTCAATCTCTCTCTGCCTGGGGCTCCATGCAAGATCTCACCTCGTGGAGTTGCAATGATCATGAGAACAGTGAGGAATCAGCCCAGAGCTACACGGGAGGATCTTGTCAATGATCTCAAGGCAGTTGGGACCATAGTCACCAAGAAAACAATTGGTAACACATTACGCCGTGAAGGACTGAAATCCTGCAGCGCCCGCAAGGTCCCCCTGCTCAAGAAAGCACATATACAGGCCCGTCTGAAGTTTGCCTATGAACATCTGAATGATTCAGAGGAGAACTGGGTGAAAGTGTTGTGGTCAGATGAGATCAAAATCGAGCTCTTTGGCATCAACTCAACTCGCCGTGTTTGGAGGAGGAGGAATGCTGCCTATGACCCCAAGAACACCATCCCCACCGTCAAACATGGAGGTGGAAACATTATGCTTTGGGGGTGTTTTTCTGCTAAGGGGACAGGACAACTTCACCGCATCAAAGGGACGATGGACGGGGCCATGTACCGTCAAATCTTGGGTGAGAACCTCCTTCCCTCAGCCAGGGCATTGAAAATGGGTCGTGGATGGGTATTCCAGCATGACAATGACCCAAAACACACGGCCAAGGCAACAAAGGAGTGGCTCAAGAAGAAGCACATTAAGGTCCTGGAGTGGCCTAGCCAGTCTCCAGACCTTAATCCCATAGAAAATCTGTGGAGGGAGCTGAAGGTTCGAGTTGCCAAACGTCAGCTTCGAAACCTTAATGACTTGGAGAAGATCTGCAAAGAGGAGTGGGACAAAATCCCTCCTGAGATGTGTGCAAACCTGGTGGCCAACTACAAGAAACGTCTGACCTCTGTGATTGCCAACAAGGGTTTTGCCACCAAGTACTAAGTCATGTTTTGCAGAGGGGTCAAATACTTATTTCCCTCATTAAAATGCAAATCAATTTATAACATTTTTGACATGTGTTTTTCTGGATTTTGTTGTTGTTATTCTGTCTCTCACTGTTCAAATAAACCTACCATTAAAATTATAGACTGATCATGTCTTTGTCAGTGGGCAAACGTGCAAAATCAGCAGGGGATCAAATACTTTTTCCCTCACTGTACATATATAATAACCTTAGATAATGCAGATCGAAAAACTCAGCTAACAGAACTGGTTGGGGAATTCATTCAGACACACAATCAGTAATCTCCCATATTACCTCTTTCACACCCTAGCTAGTCCCCTGACAGCTCCCATTCACTCAGTACTTAATAGTCTTATTATCTCAATTTCAATCCTCTTATTATCCAAATTCCAATTCTCTTATTATCCAAATTTCACTCCTCTTGTTATCCAAATTTCAATCAATCAGCTTATTATCCAAATTTCAATCAGCTTAACACATCCTTTCCACACTCACACAACTTTCACATCCACATTCACTTAGTACTATTCCCAAACACACTCAGTAATCTCCCTTATTACTCCATGTGCATCTTCAACGATCCTCCTGTCGTTATTTCCTATGCACCATATGTATCTCCTATACATATAGAATAGCACCTTGTGCTATTGTTAGTGGCTGCAGACAGCTGTCAGCAGGGCTTTCCATGGCACCGTTACTTTCCCTCGCTATAGTCTTCTCTCTAAGACTAGCTCTAGCCTTCTTCTGTCATATGTATTACTGCCACAGTTCCTCTAGTCTCTACAGTCGCCATAGTCGCTACAGTATCTATACTCTTTATTGTATCTATAGTCTCACTTATCTATAGTCTCTCAGTGTCTATAGTGTCAGTAGTTTATGTAGTCATAAATGCTATGGTCCATATAGATTCTATAGTCTTGCCGTATGCATATAGAAAAACACATGCACCTTCACACATTCACTCAGTACTTATTATCCAAATTTCAATCAGCTTATTATCCAAATTTCAATCACTTATCTAATATTTCTTAATATCCAAATTTAAATATTTTATTATCCAAATTTCAATCAGCTTAATAGCCAAATTTCAAGCCTGTTATCAACCCAATTTCAATCAGCTTAATACTTTCCACACTCACACAACTCACATCCACATCCACTTCGTGCTATCACTTGACTTAGGACTAGTTGCACCATACTCCATTTTTATGTTTAAAAAACAAATACAAATTCATTTAAATTGACTTACTGAAATCGGTTGCCGTGTCCCTCAATTGTTCGCAGATTATGTGTCTCCTACTGGGCAGCTCACAGTAAGGGTCTGGGGGGGTCTCGTACTCTTTTGGTCAGATGGGAATTTCCCTCACGCGTCATAAAATGTGACACCGGTTTTCCTCGCAGACCCTCACTGGAAAGCTCCGCAGGCAGAATCAATCATCCTGTTAGTTGACACCAAATTGTTGTGGAAATTCTACACATGGACACTCGAAGTCAATCTTAAATGAATAACTCTTTATTAACAGCATGTTGGAGAGGTTCCAACGAACTCAATGCACCATTGTACACATGTCGGTCAGGAGCTCTACCGAGGCAGTCCCGTTTGTTCTCTTATATACTGCAGACAAGTTATATTTGCATGATTTAGCTTATTCATCATTAACGTTTGCTTCATTCATGTGACTGACCAATACTGGGTCATGCATGTGACAGACCAATACGTCGCGAGGCTTCTTCTCTCTAAGCTGAGACCTTGAAACTGAGATACCTTTCGTTCTCAAAACAAGGGTCTGGGCATACTGCCAAATTGCAGATACTGATAGTGAGGATTCGTTCAATCAGTCACTTGAATGAACACAGAAATTGGTTATTAAAAAAGCACAAACATAGAACACAGAAATTGGTTATTAGAAAAGCACAAACATACAATTTTCCATCACACTATGATAGGGCAACTGTGTAACAATGATAGGGCATCTATGTAGCTCTGATAGGGCATCTATGTAACCATGATAGGGCTCCTATGTAATTCTGATTGGGCATCTATGTAACTATGATAGGGCTTCTATGTCCAACTATCTCTCACAGTCTCACGTCAGAATTACAGTGGGGGAAAAAAAGTATTTAGTCAGCCACCAATTGTGCAAGTTCTCCCACTTAAAAAGATGAGAGAGGCCTGTAATTTTCATCATAGGTACACGTCAACTATGACAGACAAATTGAGAAGAAAAAAAATCCAGAAAATCACATTGTAGGATTTTTAATGAATTTATTTGCAAATTATGGTGGAAAATAAGTATTTGGTCACCTACAAACAAGCAAGATTTCTGGCTCTCAAAGACCTGTAACTTCGTCTTTAAGAGGCTCCTCTGTCCTCCACTCGTTACCTGTATTAATGGCACCTGTTTGAACTTGTTATCAGTATAAAAGACACCTGTCCACAACCTCAAACAGTCACACTCCAAACTCCATTATGGCCAAGACCAAAGAGCTGTCAAAGGACACCAGAAACAAAATTGTAGACCTGCACCAGGCTGGGAAGACTGAATCTGCAATAGGTAAGCAGCTTGGTTTGAAGAAATCAACTGTGGGAGCAATTATTAGGAAATGGAAGACATACAAGACCACTGATAATCTCCCTCGATCTGGGGCTCCACGCAAGATCTCACCCCGTGGGGTCAAAATAATCACAAGAACGGTGAGCAAAAATCCCAGAACCACACAGGGGGACCTAGTGAATGACCTGAAGAGAGCTGGGACCAAAGTAACAAAGCCTACCATCAGTAACACACTACGCCGCCAGGGACTCAAATCCTGCAGTGCCAGACGTGTCCCCCTGCTTAAGCCAGTACATGTCCAGGCCCGTCTGAAGTTTGCTAGAGTGCATTTGGATGATCCAGAAGAGGATTGGGAGAATGTAATATGGTCAGATGAAACCAAAATATAACTTTTTGGTAAAAACTCAACTCGTCGTGTTTGGAGGACAAAGAATGCTGAGTTGCATCCAAAGAACACCATACCTACTGTGAAGCATGGGGGTGGAAACATCATGCTTTGGGGCTGTTTTTCTGCAAAGGGACCAGGACGACTGATCCGTGTAAAGGAAAGAATGAATGGGGCCATGTATCGTGAGATTTTGAGTGAAAACCTCCTTCCATCAGCAAGGGCATTGAAGATGAAACGTGGCTGGGTCTTTCAGCATGACAATGATCCCAAACACACCGCCCGGGCAACGAAGGAGTGGCTTCGTAAGAAGCATTTCAAGGTCCTGGAGTGGCCTAGCCAGTCTCCAGATCTCAACCCCATAGAACATCTTTGGAGGGAGTTGAAAGTCCGTGTTGCCCAGCGACAGCCCCAAAACATCACTGCTCTAGAGGAGATCTGCATGGAGGAATGGGCCAAAATACCAGCAACAGTGTGTGAAAACCTTGTGAAGACTTACAGAAAACGTTTGACCTGTGTCATTGCCAACAAAGGGTATATAACAAAGTATTGAGAAACGTTTGTTATTGACCAAATACTTATTTTCCACCATAATTTGCAAATAAATTCATTAAAGATCCTACAATGTGATTTTCTGGATTTTTTTTTCTCATTTTGTCTGTCATAGTTGACGTGTACCTATGATGAAAATTACAGGCCTCTCTCATCTTTTTAAGTGGGAGAACTTGCACAATTGGTGGCTGACTAAATAATTTTTTTCCCCACTGTATATGTTCATCCATGTTTCTCAAATGTCAGATTTCGAAGTTGTTGCAAACGTCAAATTTCCAAGTGTTTAAAGTTAAGTTTAGGCATTAACTCCGAAATCTTAAGGTTAGTTATTAACTCCGAATGGTTAAGGTAAGGATTAAGGTTTGGGATAGGCTTAAAACAATAATCTCAAAATATTTTTTTTTGCTGGATTTGAACTTTCAACCTTTGGAATCAGAGGCAAATGCTTACGCCCATTTGCCATTCCCGTCCACAACGCTAGAGCAAAACCTACTTGAAGGTAACAGCGCTCACTGTTGCCCCTAGTAGCTGGTTTCCACGTCATCTCCCAACATCCTCAGACACGGATGGATGTTGAATACTGACTTGTATCACGGGTGACCAGGCTGTCTATGTCAGTTTTTCCTGACCTAGGGCCCGCACCAAAATTTCCTGGGGGGCCGCAGGGCCTTATTTGATTTTACCATTCCCTCTAACCAACAAAGGACAAGCAACAGCAGCAGCAGAAGAAGAAGTAGAAGAGTAGAGGGAGTGCTAGTCACTTCAGATCTAGTATTCAAACTCAACAGTGTCAAAGAAATGAATACAGTATATTATGGCCTGCCTATGAACCCCATACATCATGATGTCACTTACCAAACCATGAGGTGGTGCATTAACCTTGATCTCTATCCATGCTGCTCCCTCAGAGGACAAGCAGAAGAAGAAGAAGCAGGGAAAGGAGAAGAGTGCAGGAGAGAGAGAGGGCAGCAAGACCCTGCAGCGCTCCAAGACCTTCGTTAGCCTCCTTTTCAGGAGAGACCGCAGGAGAGACATATCCAGGAACAAGAGAGAGAGAGACACATCAAGGGACAGTAGAGACACAGGGACAGGGGACTCCCACAGGGGGCGATCTAAATCACCTTCCCACCATGCTGACAAAGGTGAGAGGGCCAAGATACACTGCCACAACTGCATAGAACACACATCTACACTCACTTGCACAACCACACAAACACATGAATGCATGCATGTTAGCAATCAGATACACAAAAGCACCAGTCCTTCCATCTCAGACTGGAGACATTCACGCCCATATCCCCTTTCAATCTTAATCATAGCCTCGACCCTAACCCTAACCCTAGCTTAATGCCTACATCCCGGTTCAACCCTAACCATAGCCTCGACCCTAACCATAGCTTAATTCCCACATCCCAGTTCAACCAAAAACATAGCCTCGACCCTAACCCTAACCCTAGCTTCATGCCCACATCCTGGTTCAACCCTAAGAATAGCCTCTACCCTAACCCTAGCTTCATGCCCATATCCCGGTTCAACCCTAACCATAGCCTCGACCCTAACCCTAGCTTAATTCCCACATCCTGGTTCAATGCTAAACATAGCCTCAACCCTAAACTTAACCGTAGCTTCATGCTCACATCCTAGTTCAGCCCTAATCATAGCCTCGACCCTAACCCTAGCTTCATGCCCACATCCTGGTTTAACCCTAACCATAGCCTCAACCCTAACCCTCAACCACAACCCAAGCCTCAACCCTAACCCCACTGGCTATTATTACCTCACCCTTATTTCTAACCACTCGCTACCATTGCTAAACAGATGTCCCCTAATCACTGGCTAGCATTTTACTACTACTACTCACTCAGTAGCTCTGTCATTTTGTGGTTCAGAGAACAAGCACATTTTCATTGTGTGATCATGTTGTTCTACAATACCATGGTGCTTGCCTACGGAGCTGTGAGGGGAACGGCACCTCCGTACCTTCAGGCTCTGATCAGTCCCTACACCCAAACGAGGGCATTGCGTTCATCCACCTCTGGCCTGCTGGCCCCCCTACCTCTGTGGAAGCACAGTTCCCGCTCAGCCCAGTCAAAACTGTTCGCTGCTCTGGCACCCCAATGGTGGAACAAGCTCTCTCACGACGCCAGGACAGCGGAGTCACTCACCACCTTCCGGAGACACTTGAAACCCCACCTCTTTAAGGAATACCTGGGATAGGATAAAGTAATCCTTCTACCCCCCCTTACCCCACCCCAAAGAAAAAAAAAAAAACATATTGTAAAGTGGTTATCCCACTGGCTATAAGGTGAATGCACCAATTTGTAAGTCGCTCTGGATAAGAGCGTCTGCTAAATGACGTAAATGTAATATCTGTCCACCTGACTCCCCAGATAAGGAGAGGGGTCATCCGTTCCAGCTGCTGACCTCTCCAAGGGAGACCCGTGCTGGGGTGAAGGACAGCAGCCCCCTGCCTCACCCTGAGACCCTGGGACAGGTGGAGGACATGGCCAGGAAACTGCTCAGTCAGGACGAGGTCACTGCAGTCATGAGACACTGCAAGCGGGTGAGTCACTGAGCCAAAATGAGTGAGACACTGTAAATGGGGGCTATTCTGAGCTGTAATGGCTGATGGAGACATTGTAAGAGAGTAAATTCTGACTGAGACACTCGAAGAGGGAAAATTCTGAGCTGTAATGACCGTCATAAGACTGCAGGTAGGTGAGTTACTGAAACAAAACAGCGTATTGAGTGAGACGCTGCAGAGCTACTGAGCCGGAATGGCTGTCTGAAACAGTACAAGGGCCAACCCAGAAACAATTTGATGTCCGTAGATATGAAGGAATCAGACATACCTACCACAGAAAAAAAATTACTAAGCAAGAAAATAACATTATTTGGCAGTCAATCAGGCACTTGAGTGTAAGTGTGTGTGTGTGATGCGGGGCTGGAGCTACTCTTGCACCTCTTCCAGGCTTTTGGGTGGGATGGTGGACAATCCCATCTAACAACAAACGTTCCTACACCTTTAGAGAATGTTCCCTTAAGAGTCTTATTAGGTCAAAACCTAACGTCTTCATTGGAAAGTTTCAGTGATGTGCAAGGACTGTTTTCTAGAGACCCATAATGCCACACAGAATTTACCCAGAACGTGGTTACCATGTTCTCAGAATATAAGATATTAATGTTCTAGAAACGTTTCATTGGAACTTTGCAAGAACATTCCTGTGTCCAGATTTTCTGTGGGTTAGGAGAATATTCCATCAATGTCCCACCAACCATTCACAGAACATGGTGTCCATGTTCTCTGAATGTTCTGGACACTTTTCATGGGAACGTTGCAAGAACTTTCCTGTGTCCAGTTTTCTGAGGGTTAGGAGATCATTCCATCAATGTCACACCAAACACAGAACATTATTGCCATGTTCTCAGAACATAAGACATTACTGTTCTAGACACGTTTCATGGGAACGTTGCATGAACATTCCTGTGTATCAGTCGTCAGGATGTCACCTGATGGTCCCAAAGAACCCCCCCCCCCCCCCCCCCCAAAAAAAAAGCTTAATTACACATCACTCCTAGTTACTGTTGCCAAGCCCAACAAGGCCCTAGTTGTTGACACACTGATCCATTCACAGCTCTTTGTCTGTTGGCAAGGTTAGTACAATGCTTTTAGCATACATTGTTTTCAACTTACATATTTGACACACTTTCACATGATTACATTGTGCATATTAATTTATTCATGGAATTCCAATCTTCTTGCTATGCCACCATGTCTATATCAGTTACCAGTTAACCTTGCAAACAATAATGAGTCATTAGGATGTCCCCGGTACATCACGAAATGGTCCCTTGAAGTCGTCAGGACGTTGTGTCATGGTCCCCTAGAGGTTTTGTCTAGTTCCCTGTTGGTCCCGGGGATGTCCCCGAGGACGTTTTTAGGACGTTCTTGGGACGTTGTGCCATGGCTCCCCGGAGGTTTTGTCTAGTTCCCGGTTGGTACGGGGGACGTCCCCGAGGACGTTCTTGGGACGTTGTGTCATGGTCCCCTTGTCGTTTTTTCTTGTTCCCGGTTTGTCCCGGGTCTGTTTTTAGGACTTTCTTGGGATGTTGTGTCATGATCCCTTGAAGGTCCCCTGAACGTTCTTGGGCCGTTGTGTCATGGTCCACTGGAGGTTTTTGTCTAGTTCCCAGTTTGTCCTTGGGACGTCACCTGATAGTCTCAAAGAAACGTTCTCCCCCATAAAATATACGTTTTACCCAGGGCACACAGACCTTAGTTTCATTACACATCACCCCTTGTTACTGTTGCCAAGCCCATCAATGTGAACCACTGATCCAGTCACAGCTCTTTCTCTTTTGACAATGCTAGGGGCACCCACACAGCACTTTTAACTTACATATTTGACACACTTGTGTATGTTTATTCATACAGTAATTATTATTTAGCCTGTTCTCATCTGGGATTTGAACTCACATCCTGTTGGTTTACAGCCTGCTGTGCCTGTAGGCCTATTCCTACACTACACTTCAAAGTAAATCTCAGCTCTGTTAAAAATGCACTGAAGAAAAACTATTGTGTATCATGTCAAAGTGATTCAGGAGTAACCTTAAAACAGAATAATATGTTCCACCAGCATTAGACAACTATACTGAAAACCCAAATTCAAATTGCTGAAATAAGTAAATGAAATCAATGAGAGAATAGTCAGATTAACTGATAACTGAAATAGCAATGAAGAAGGCATTATTTTGCAAAGTGCAGAGATGTATTATAGGTAATGAATATGTAGGGGATTTCTGAAATTCTACAGACTTTGTGGCGCAGCAGAAAGATCAGCATATTCCAAATCCAGAGGTTGTGAGTTCAAATCCCAGGTACGGTCATATTGAAAAGTCAATGCTGAGTGATCATGTCAAATGTAATCATATTGATTAAAGATTTGGACACTATTTTAACTGAACAGAGTACCACTTATCTTAAAACCCCCATACCATTTAATGACTTTACTTATAATGGTTTTGGACACCTGAGACCATCACGTGATAAAAAACATCCAGGGGAGCATGACACAACGTCCAAAGAACGTGTTAAAAACGTCCTCGGGGACATCCCCGGGACAAAACGGGAACTAGACAAAACCTCCAGGGGACCATGACACAACGTCCCAAGAATATCCTAAAAACATCCCGGGACAAACTGAGAACTATAAAAACGTCCCCAAGAGAACGTTCCCTTGGGACCATCATGCGACGTCCTAAGGACTAGTAAAATGAAAGTCCTGAGAACGACCTAAAAAGGTCCTAACATGGTCCTTAGTGAAGTCCTGGGAACGTACAGGGAACTACACAAAGGTGCCACAGAGGATGTTTCCTCGGGACCATCACGCAACGTCCTAAGGACTAGTAAAATGAAAGTTCTGAGAATGGCCTAAAATGGTCCTGACATGGTCCTCAGTGACATCCTGGGAACTTACAGGAAACTGAACAAAGGTCCCCAAGCGAACGTTCCCTTGAGACCATCATGCGACGTCCTAAGGACTAGTAAAATGAAAGTCCTGAGAACGACCTAAAAAGGTCCTTAGTGAAGTCCTGGGAACGTACAGGGAACTACACAAAGGTGCCACAGAGGATGTTTCCTCGGGACCATCACGCAACGTCCTAAGGACTAGTAAAATGAAAGTTCTGAGAATGGCCTAAAATGGTCCTGACATGGTCCTCAGTGACATCCTGGGAACTTACAGGGAACTAGACAAAGGTCCCCCAGAGAACGTTCCCTGAACGTCATGTTTTAATGTTCCTAGAATGTTCTCAGAACCTCAGTGGGGTAACGTTGCGCCGAAACCCTGAAGGGACCGAACGGGAATGTTGCCGAATGTCCTTAGGATGTCCCGTTTGCTGGGAATCTGACTATTTTCTCATCATTGATTTGATTGACTTATTTCAGCAATGTTAGGATTTCTGTATAGTTGTCTAATGTTGGTGAGGCATATTACCCTGTTTTAATGTTACTCCTGAATCACTGTAATAAATAAAATAGTATTTCTTGAGTGTGCTTTTTACAGAGTTGAGATTTACTTCAAACTGCAAAGTGTGGCAATACAGGGAAAATCAGTCATTGACAGACATGGTGTCGTAGCAGAAAGATCGGAATGCCATGAACCAAAGTTCAAATCCAAAGTGAGGACATGTTGAATAATAATTACTGTATAAATGAACATGCACAATGTAATCATATACAGTGCCCTCCACTATTATTGGCACCTCTGTTTAAGATGTGGTCGAGGACTTCCAAAAATGCTCCTTTTTTTTTAAACAACATAGAACCCAAATGCAAAAAAAGAGAAA